GCCAATAAGTGGATGGAACTAGAGACTTCGATGCTAAGTGAAATAAACTAATCCCAAAAAACCAAAGGCCAAATGTTCTCTCTGATATGTGAATGTTAACACACAATAAGGGCGTGGTGGTGAGATGCTAAGTGAAATAAACTAATCCCAAAAAACCAAAGGCCAAATGTTCTCTCTGATATGTGAATGTTAACACACAATAAGGGGGGGGGGGATAGAAGTTCATTGGATTAGACAAAGGGAAATAAAGGGAAGGGAGAGGAGATGGGAATCGAAAGAAAAGACAGTAGAATGAATCAGATATAACTTTCCTATGTTCATATATGAATACATGACCAGTATAACTCCACATCATGTATAATCACATGAATGGAAAGTTATTATATATATATATATATATATAATATGTCAAAATATACTCTACTGTCAAATGTAACTAAAAAGAATAAATAAAGATTAAAAATTTAAAATAAAATAAATGTAAATATGCTTTAGAAAAGTTTAAATTTATGCTATATTTGTAGAATAATCAGAGAAAGGTAAAGAGCTTTCAATTGTCTTAAACTTCAAATATCATCAGAGGTTCAAGGAGTTTCAAAAAAGGTAACCTCCACTCAGGACTAGTAGGGTTCTTGGCTTACATGATGGCAAAGAATTTCAGCATGTGCCAGTCAGAGACACAGACAAAGGAAGCATGGCACATTCAAGAAACGATGTGGGCTTTCTCAAAAGTGAGAAGCTGATGGAATGAAGCAAGGAACACACATTCAAAGGAGGATGTAGGCCATCTCCAGAGAGAGAAGCAACAATCTCTGGCTATAACAGGGGTCCATTCATACAGGGACAGTTTCTAGGGGAGAGATTAGAGGTGGAGCAGTTACACAACTTTGCACCAATTCCCTTATCTTTGCACATTGCCCTAATGTTATTTTGTATAAGCAAAGGCATGGGTCAAGAGCACAGGCCAAGTGCACAGTCTGGATAGCTCATGAGTGGCAAGAGTTCATGGGCAATTTCTGCACCTCAAAGGCTCATGAGTACCTCCTGCATTCCAAAAGTTCATGGGTGCTACTCTTTTGAGACTCAATCTAGTTTTCTTGTTCTGTATCCCCTAAATTCCCATCTCACCCAAAACCCAAATACCAAGGAGAAATATTTTGAGGTAGAATTCTCTGGAACCTTTCAACTCAGACCCATGTTTGATAGATCTGTTTTCAGATCTGCACTGGTGGATTTACGTTGTCACACACAATGTTAACATTTAACACTTTGGCAATTGTGGCGATTTAAAACCCATATGGAAGCTCTTTGTCAGTGACTTTCCAACCCTCCACCTTCTCTCCAATAATGATCGTAACTGCTCCCTTCAGTCAAGCATTGTCCCAACTTTTCACTGTAGATAACTCAACTTCCTATCACTCCTATTTTTCCAGTTTCCTCCTTCCAGTAAGACATTCTAACTAACAGGCACCTCTCTTACGCTCAATAGTTTTAGACATTTGGACACAGCTAGATTTTCACATGGTCTAGAGTTCATCAGATACATCCTAGAGAAGCTCAGAGGGCCTTTAGTCCCGAGTCTAGGAAGGGTAAGTTTGGGAGTAACTTTTGTGTTTAAGGTGCTCGAAATCCAAAAATCCTTGATTTGCCTAAAAGCAGAGCTTCCACAAAGAACTCAGTTGTCATAAATCCCTCCCCTCAGGAGTAATCAGGGAAGAGTAACTCTTACTGGACATTTTCACAAAACTATCACGTCTCACATCCACTGTCCTAAGGATCCACTCATCTTACAGTCATAATAGGGGCCCATTGCATGCTGCTCTGCCGCTGCAGTTTATTTTAAAAGTGGTGTGTTTTTTTTCCCTTCCTCTTTTTTCTCTGTCCCTCCCTAACCACAGAGGAAGTAAGATTAACCTTCTTCCTATCCAAAGCTGAGATTCTGTATGTTGGCTCACAGACCACCAGGAATGAAGGAATCCAGTCTTAGGGTTTGGCACTGGAGGTGTTAAGAAATAGCTACCTCTCAAGGCTACAAATGAATTTTGACTCCTGACGGGGGCAAAGCTGGAGGGTAGCCTTTGTGTATCTCTTGTTCCTCCTGGCAGTTAGAATCACAGCCTCTGAGGCACAAGTCTACTGTGTATTCTTTGCTAGCAAAAGGGAATTTTTTTTTCCTTTTTCTCAAAACTTTTTCCATATTATTGGATCAGCATCAGGGACAAGGTCAGAGCTTTCGGTATCAAAATGATTTTTTTCCTATAAGTGCCCTTCTCCCAGCAACCCTTCATTATTAAGATGATAAATAGGCCCCAAATTCTAAACAATACTGTGGGACACCACCCAAAAATTATTTGAGCCAGGAAGATTTTGGTTTGGCACTGCAAACTATTTTGTGGCTCCTCCCACTCAATGAATTGTGCAACGCATGTGACCTCTGTCTTTGCTTGGCTAGGGAGACTGGAAACTGGACAGCCCACCTCCTACCTCATTTGACAAAAGAACATTCCATGGAAAACCTTTGATGCTTCCCTGGAAATAAAGCAGACTCTTCTTGCTCTCTCTTTCCAGGGGGGAAGCTCGATCCCTAAGATCAGAGAGCTGTCCTATCCCCATCTTCTAAAATTACTTCCTGTGTCCTGGGTTTTCTTTGCCATTTTTGTCTTTCTTAGTTTTATTTCGCAGCCAGCCCATTATGCAGCAGAGGAAACCCAAATTCCACCTCCTGCGCAGGACATGGGCGAGACCTTACTTTGAGTCTCACTTTTTTTAAAATCTATGGCTAAGTATTCTTCCTAATCATATTAAAGTAGATAGTTAGGCAGACACATGCAGGGAGTTGGAGGAGCAAGAATAGAGCTCACTGCATCTTAAGTGACAGAACTTTACATTGGGTGACAGAGAACCCTATTCATAAACCATTTCCTTCACAGCCAGATGCCACCTCCTTAAAACTAAAAAGAACTGGATGGAACCATATTAAGGGACTTTCCAACTGGTGAGAATGTGCAGAACACTGAGGCTGCGTCCTTTGGATGTCCCTGATTCACTGTGATACTATTCATATTGTGACCTCCCCATGGCTTTCCCTTAAGTACTAATAGGGAAAATTTCTGACATGGCAGAGTTGATGGGAACCCACTGAGTCAAGGCAGGAAATGACTGGAACCATCCCAAAGAAAAAATTCATGGGTTGGAGGATTCATGGGGTGGCAGCCTATAAAACCCACAGTGCAAAAGAAACAAGGCCAAACCCCCTTCTCCTGGCACGGCCCACTCTACGTTCTCTGAAGTATACTTTCATTTCATTAAATAAGCCCTTTGTACTTGCTTATTCTTGCTGTATATCCTGACTGGCATCTTTCTTTCAGGAAGACAAGAATTGAGGAATCCACAACATAGAACCAAACTGGTTTTTGTCAGTTAAATTCACCTGCCTATAGACACTCAAGAGGGGAAAGAAAATGTTCTTCCTGCACTACAGACAAAAAAGGTCAAGGAATGAGTCTGTGAGCTAAGTCTGAAACTGTAGAGATTAGGCAGGAGCAGCTAGAGGCATGGAACTTGCAAAGTTAAAAATCATCAATTTCCTTTTATCCACAAAGTACACAACAAATTACTTATAATAATATTATTCTACATTTATAAAAAGAAGTCTACAAAAAAGACTGCCCAAAGCAGCTCAATATAATGTTTTGCATCTTTCTACTTTCATCAGTAACACATAGGAAAAGAAAATAAGGGAAAGTATATTCTGTTCACTATCTAGATACATTCAGTAGATACTTAATAATACATGAAATGGTAATGTGACAGAGAAATTAAATTTTTAACATTACTTGATTTCAATTCAACTTCCATGTATGTCTGGGGCTACCATATTGGTGATGCAGGTGATGATTTTAAATTGTATTTCTCTTTATTTATAAATAAAGCAATTTGTAAAGCTATAAAAGATACATACATTTGGCATGTCTTATAACAAATTCTTTTCTAGATTTCAAAAGAGTACAATGCTATCATAGTATAATCTTTCTTTCAAATATAAGAAAGTGCTAAAAAAAATAAAACTAGGGAAGTGAGAAATTTCTGTTAGGTCAGTCCTCAAGAAAATGGGATCAAACATATCATGATAGAAAAGATTAAGAAAAACAAGCATTAAGTTAATTATCCATCAAACACAGGAAGACTTATGAAGAATTGCTTATCTTCCTCTAATGCAATGCTGGGAGCTGTATTGATTACAAGGGAGAAAGCATACACCAAGTACTCACTGTAATAACCTATGAGAACCTTTACTTAATTAGCATAGTAAAAATCACATCCTGGTGCAGAAACCTAAGGTGATACTGATATAAGCCTCTCATGAAGACCCATGATGAAGGCAAGCTCAGGTGCAACTAAGACTCCACACCTACATGTAATAACACAAAGAAGACAAAGTCCCTGCCTGCCCTAGAGATGCTATAAAAGCTGTGCACTTCTCTTAGAGAATCTGCCTGGGAATTCTGTCCTCACCTGCTGCTTCCCTGGTTTCAGAGAATAAAAATAAAACTCTATTGTTACTGCAATATAGTGTTCCTGCTTGATTCTTATTCTGCAGGCTCAGTAACAAAAGTACCATATGCTTCTGTTTAGGAAAAACAAACTTATAAAAAATGGAAGTGTGGCAAAGTCTAAAAGAAAATACTTCTATTTTTTTAAAACTGTCCATTATTAGCTAAACTCAATCTTCTTCCTCAAGCAAAATAAATGAGGTAAATCCCCCAAAATTAAACAAGATCTATAAACAGAATTCATATAACTTACCACTTGGAGTAACAACTAAGCGTGGGAAGATTTTATCTATCCCATTTCCATTCTGCCTGCACACATTTGGAGACAGGCAAGGTTTTTACCTTCACTGAGCCACTCATAACACACTTTCAGAATGGTAATCAGTTGCACCTCCACATCATTTCTGAAAAACAACTCTGAACTGTCAATTTGTATTTCATACTCACTTTCAAATGAAGATACCAGGTCTTCCAATGAACAAGGACTTAGACTCTTTTTTTCCACCTTTAAGTGTCCAATACGCAACTAAAAGCAGGGATAAAAATCTTGGCCTCTGTTCCTCCAGTTTGCATCTGTGCCCTTTTCTTTGGATCAGGGACCTTGAATTCTGGGAACAAGACATTTAACTAATAAATGTCTTGCGATGAGTAGAACCTACACTCCCCCAGCAGGCAATAGCATCTTTCATACCTAAGACAAATTAAGGATTGAACAACTGGGCCAATTCTGAGATAATGATCAACCAGACCACAGTGTGACCAAGATGACGTGTATTTCTGGTCACCTTGTCTATATAATCTAGAAACTCATGTCAGTACCCAAGACAGGGCTGGAAACATTGGTCTTCTGTCTCTCCAGTATAGTTACACTAGTTAACCTTACTTTCCTGTTTTTCACTGATAATCTTGCTATTTGTCCTATTTTCTAACAATATGTGCACACAATACCTCCCCACTTTTCCTGCCACACAAATTTCCTCACTCAGCCTAATCACACACAGTTTGAGCTCCAGTTTCAGGATGTGTGTGCTCAGAGGCAGAGCATTAACAGTCCTTGATACAAGCATTGAGAGGAATCTTGTGGACCTTCCAAACGGGCCCCAAGAAGGAGCCTCCTCTCAACAATGATGTCAGGCATCTGTGCTGTGCAATTCCTGAAGTGCTTTCCCCCAACACCCCTGCCTCCTTCCCAGGTTGCCTCCTTTATGAGTCTCCCTGAGACAATCAGCAATCCCCAGGAAAAACAGTGCACCTTAAGAGATAAAGGAGTGGAAACTCTGAGGGAGGAAATGAGACAGTCTCACAAACCCCCTAGGACAAACCTCTAGGACAATTAACTCATAGCCTGTTAGCCATTAAAAGCATGGTATGTGTTTGTGTGTTCTTCCCTAACTACTTCTTCAGTCTTATGGACCACAAAAGCTAGATCCACGGCTGGGGTGTAGCACTTGCTATATGCTGGGGTTCCATCCCCAGCATTGCAGCAATTCCCAGATGCACTAAAGCCAGTATGCCTTCACCAACATATCTCCAAGCATAAACAACACAAAAGAATGAAAACTTTGGCCGCTGTTGGTTCAAAATTGAAACCTTAAGCCACAAAAGGCTAAAGGCAAAGAAACTCTCAGCACCTTTAACTTGTTACTCAGCATAACTTGTGCTCTCTTCTACCTGATCTGCGTATTCTCTTAACAGCTTCCAGGACTCACACATACCACAAGGTTTATACAGACTGTGGTCCAGATTGGAGGAACATAAATGCCCCTGGGCTCCAAACCTCCAGGCCCCACTGTTTGCACAGGAAAGGAATACCTTTTGAAACTGTGCCCAAAACCAGTGAAAATTCCTAAATTCCACAAAGCCCATTCCTGCAAACTGCTACACATGATAAAAACTGGCCCCTTTCCTTATTCCAAGAGCCAGCATAATAACTCTTAGAGCTGCCTCTTCTTTCTGGCTTAAGGAGAGGTCCCAATACAGCCTCCACGTGAATCAGCTCGATTCACTTTCCATTCTACAAGTCACAAGCATCAAGCCTACCTCAGTGGTGGCGCGCGGGGCTGGTAGCGCGCGGGGCTCTCCTTTCCTCCAGGGCTCTGCAGACGCTGTGTGTGCGGACCCTGGACATGGCCCGCAGCCGTGGCAGAGCCCTTGCCAAGACCGGAAAGAGCCCACCACGCCCGCTACCCTAGAGGGGGGCACCCACCGCGAGACGGAGGTTGAGGGAACCAGAGTGCCTTGCGGCCTTTCCCTGGCTGGGACACAATCGCCACCACCCCCAGCGCAGCCAGCCCTGCCCTGCGGAGAGCAAAGCGAAAGGAAGGAGGAGGGGACAAACCTTCAATGCCAAAATAAACACCAGGACTTGAGAACCCGGGTCACTGACTGCACAGGCACAATCAAAAACTCCCGGTTTTTTACAGATAAGTGAACAGAAAGTGCATGGATGGTTAACAAAGAGAGAAGCAACTTTAAGAGGGAGAAAAGGGGAGGGAGAGGGACAGACAGAGGACATGCGCGCAAACCGCGCAGGTCCACTAAAGATTGATGTAGCGGTAACGTTTCCAGGCATTTTACAGTGTTTAATTTAGACATTTGTTTAATTCGGCTTCATACAAGCCTTAGATATGCTCATTTCCTAGATAAAAAATAAAAAAGAATTTAAACTCCGGAGAGTCAGTAGCTATCCAAGATCTCAAGGCACCAATACACCTAAGGCAGATTTTTAGGTTGGAGCAAACCTGAAACTGACACAAATCACCTAACTCCAAAACTAGAGGTCGTTGTGTTAGAAATAACGAAGAACCACATACACATACACACACACACACAAAAAAAAAATCAAACACATGCTTAGAAGAGAGTGAATGGTAAGGCAAAAGTTTTTATTTGTGTCAGAAGGGAAAACAACAGACCCTGGGTAGCCAGTGTGTCTGCTTATATCCCAAGGCAGTACTGCCCTTTACCCTGATTGGAGGAGCTTGGGGTTGGTTGCAATCTATGTGATTGGTAATTTGGCAAAGGGTTGGGTTATAATTAAAACTGCTATAATTGGATCCAATTAAGGCTGAACACTATATTCTGAAAAAGGGCCACCAGACTTTCTATGGAAACTCAAGGTGCGCTGAGTCCTGGAGTATGTACAACTGTCAATCAGAGACAGCTGAGACAACCCAGGTCCTGTCAAAGGACAGAAAGACAGTTCACGTTTGCCAGTTAGAGGGCTATTAGAATAAATATGGTTCCCAGCTGGAAGGCATTGCTTCCAGTAGGTGGTGCTGCCCCCAAGGGAATCTGTTGCTTCCCTTTTTCAGAAAGTGATGACAGACAGATCCTGAAAATTTCAAAACAGAAAGTCAATACATGGGTTCTTAGGCACAACAGGAAAAACAAAAACAGAAGGTTTTATATGAATCAATCCATCCAAGGTGTATTTTGGTTTCACGTTAACTGAAAGCGATCAACTTAGTTGTTTAAATGGTTTGGGGAGAGTTCAAACATCCCTCTTTCACATCAGCTTTGTCCCATCAATTGGCTCTGAAATCACAATGTTCTTCCAAGTATATTAGACTTGTGTCCACCTCTTGGTGAGAGGTGAGAAGACAGGCTTCCTTGGGGGACAATACGAGTTCTTTTTTTGGAAGGAGATGTCACCTCCTGATCGTCTTCATCTCCAGTATTTCTTCCATGAATGTGAATGTGTTAGAATTCTAAACCTTTAACTTAAGTCCAATAGTTTAAGAAATGATAGATCATGTAACATTTGGAGAAGACTGTTCTTGTCCTATTTTAAAAGGATTATAAGGGTAACAGGGAACCAAACTAAGAGTACTGAAAATCATTCATACTTTTCCTGATACATTACACAAGTTGTGTATATTGTGTATATTTATTATCAATTGTTTGCTTGAGATGAACTGCCAAACATGCACATGTTGGGATCACTATTACCAACTTCGTTCCTTTAATAATTTTAATGATATGCATGTTAGATGAGGGAAGAGTATATGATAGATAACTAAATGGTATTTAATCCTCAAATAATTTAAATACAGGATTCATTTATGCATTTTATGATATCTGAAAATTGTTACAGAATTGAATAAGTCTTAATAACCTGATAAGATACAGCATTGTATCCAAAAGAAATATCAAATATATCCCTTCCCCTTGAAGAATTTGATCAGCTAATCATAGGAATTGTAGCATATTACACCTATAATCACTAGATTGCACCACAAGATAGTAGTTGTTAAAGTGCTCAAATTTTCAATAGATGTTTTGTAGCAACCCAGTTAGAGAGGAAGTAGCACCATTATTGGACAGTTGTTAAGTGTCAGCCCCCCCTCTGTGAATTTGAGTTATTTTTATTTATGTCAACAATCTCATGGGATAGCTAATGAAGTTTATAGAGTTTAAGTCAACTGCTCAGGTCACATAGGCAGGAATGAATATGACCAAGAGTCAAACCTTGATTTCATTTTACCTATTGCAATGATTTTTTTTTTCTTGTTAGTTGCTGGGTTTTTTTATTTTTTTATTTTTTTAAATTTTTTTATTGGTTGTTCACAACATTACAAAGCTCTTGACATATCATATTTCATACATTAGATTCAAGTGGGTTATGAACTCCCAATTTTTACCCCAAATGCAGATTGCAATGATTTGGATCTTAAATATCCTCCAAAAATTCTTGTGTTAAAGAATCGGTCCCCAACTGGTAGAGCTTGCCCCATTGTATGATATCAGTTCTGAATACCTAGGTTGGTTCTATACCTTTGCTACTCTGAATAGCGCTGCAGTAAGCATAAGAATACAGAGGTCTCTTTAATATGCTGATTTCACTACCTTCATGTATGAACCTAATGAGATGGGTGGCTCACAGTACTTCTATTTTTTTTTTCCCCCAGAGAACCCTCACATAAAGTAAAGTATTGAAAGTGCAAGCTATTTCTGGGCATGGAGGTACACACTTATAAGTCCAGTGGCTGGCAGGAGGCAGGGGTCTTGGGGGTGGGGGGTGAGGCAAGAGGATCACAAGTTCAAAGCCAGCCTCAGCAACTTAGCAAAGGCCTAAGCAGCTTTGCAAGACTATGTTTCAAAATAAATAAAAAGGGCTGGGGATGTAGCTCAGTGGTTAAGCACCAATAAGGTTCAATCCCTGGTACCAAAAAAAAAAAAAAAAAAAATTGTGAGCTATTGAGGCAGTTTTCTGTCTAGCTTAAAACCCATCCTTCTCAAATGTATATTTATGATTTTTAAGTTTTTATTAGTATATGTGCATATTTGCAGAGATTTTTTGGGTGACCTTTGTTACTCGTACCCTCAATATCTTGGGTATTAATTAAGGACACATTATTACTTTCAGAATTACCATAGTTACTTTCATCTGCCATCTTGTGTGCACTTTACTTAGTACTAGGTTTAGAAACAAATATAGAAAATTCATAGTATTTGGAGGAAAACTCTAAATAATAATCAAAGATATTTATCCAATTTATGAAAGTGATTATACTTTCTCACGCCCCTTTTTCTAGTTTCTTCAAAGCATAAGCACACCTTTAATCTCTAGTATCATTTCCAAAATCTTTCATCATCTCATAACCACTACTCTTTGCCACTTCTCTGTGCCAGAAAAAAATTACCTGTTCACAGATATATTATCTCATTTATTACTCTCAAAACACCTCCAGATAGGGCTGTGTTGTAGCTCAGTGGCAGAGCGCTTGCCTCACATGTGTGAGGCGCTGGGTTCCATCCTCAGCATCGCATAAAAATAAATAAATAAAATGAAGATATTGTGTCCACCTACAACTAAAAAATATATCAAAAAAAAAAAAAAACACAAGATAGCATCAAACTCATATCATATGAGAAAACGAAAGCTAAACTGTGAGGCACTTGGTAGACTTGTCTACCTTTGGCTGTAATATTCCCTGGGGGAATCTCCAACCATTTAGTCCCTGAGTACAGACACTTACCAGGGAAGGCAGCCATGGAAACTTAAGGCTGATGGCACAGGTTCTGTGGACAGAGATCTCTGGAGTGGGTTTTTGACTCTACTCTCAATAGCTTTGGAATAAAATTGAGCTCCTTAAGGCTTTTGATGGGCTAATGACTATATGAGATTCAATAAGAAAACACTTAATGAAGTGTCATGACAAGCACATTACTCAACTTGAGCTTGAAAGATTGATTTATTACAAAACTTATCTTGCCAAGAACCAGCTATCTATCTATCTATCTATCTATCTATCTATCTATTTATTTATTTATTTATTTATTTATACTGGGGATTGAACTCAGGAGCACTTAATCACTTTGCCACACCCCAGCCCTTTTTTTCTATTTTATTTTGAAACATAGTCTCACTGAATTGTTTTGGGCCTCACTGAGTCGCTGAGGCTGATTTGAATTTAGGATCCTCCTGTCTCCAGAGCTGCTGGGATTACAGGTGTGCACCACCGCACACTGCCCAGCTGTTTGTTTGTTATTGTTTTATTAATATTTACTTCTTCTCTAAATATTTCATGTACTTTTTTGACAGCAGAATGTATTTTGATTCATTGTACACGATTGCCGCACAACTTTTCATTTCTCTGGTTGTACATGATGTAGCATCACACCACATGTGCAGTCACACGGTAATGATGTCCATCTTGTTCCACGATCTTTCCTGCCCCCATGCACCCTCCCCATCCTGCCCTCCTCTTTGCCCCATCAAAGTTCCTCTGTTTTTCCTATGCCCTCCCCCATTAAGCCTTTGATTTTTTGGAGATTGGCTTACTTCAGTTAGCATGATATTCTCCATATCCATCCATTTACCTGCAAATGCCTTAAATTTATTCTCTTTTAATGCTGAGTGATATTCCATTGTGTATATTTACCACAGTTTCTTTATCCATTCATCTATTGAAGGGCATCTAGATTGGCTCCACGGTTTAGCTATTGTGAATTGAGCAGCTATAAACACCAATGTGGCTATTTTACTATAGTATGCTGATTTTAAGTCCTTTCAGTATAGACCAATAAGTGGGATAGCTGGGTCAAATGGTGGTTTCATTCTAAGTTTCCTAAGGATTCTCCATACTGCTTTCCAGATTGGTTGCACCAATTTGCAGTCCCACCAGCAATGCATTAGTGTGTCTTTGCCCCCACATCCTTGTCAACATTTATTGTTCTCTGTATTCTTGATAACTGCCATTCTGACGGGCATTGAGATAAAATCTTAGAATAGTTTTGATTGGCATTTCTCTAATTACTAATTAAAAATGTTGAGCATTTTTTTCATATATTTGTTATCA